AAAATACCCGCAACAAAAGTCAATATAAAAACTGAGTCATAAAAGTCATATATTTGAAATCTTTACTCACAACACAAAAACTAGTGCAATTCATAAAATAAAGTGAATTTTACATGTCTTTCAGAAAATCACCTTTCTTACACGCCTTTCTGTTGATCAATTTGATTTGTTGATGAGTATTTTTTTTTCAAAATATTTCACTTTAAGCTTATATATATGTATATATTTGTATGCAGATAAAGTTCATATTATTAGCTCTATGACTTACTAATTTCAGACCTGGAACTAGATATTTTGCTGCACTAGAAAAATAATAATCTGCTTAATCCCCCATCCCTTATTTTTCCTCCTCCAATTTTAATTTGAATTGTGCACCAAAACTGTGGGTCTGCTAATGAAATCAAATTCATTTAGTAAAGTCTAAGGAAGTATTACAGTGATAACCTTGCCTGTTAAAAATTTTATGACTACATAAATTTCGCTTTCCTTGCTTTCACTTATGCTAATTTTCACACTGCTTGCTTCAAGCATTGTTTACCTCCGAATGAAGTTCTCTGTTCATATTCATTATTTTATTGTTTACTAGCACTGGTGATGGGCAAAGTTAGCAAAGTTCTTAGAGCAACAAATATGTTTGGAAATGATAACACTAATCTGTTCTTGTCCATATATTCCAATATTTTTTGGAGTCATTTTAGTCCCTCTCCATAGAAGGCTCATCAATTTGCCATACAGTTCTGTTGCACTGACATAGGTTACCTCACAATCTGATAAGCTGAGTTAGAAATCCATTTATTTTTCAAGTCTTTTGATATAAATTTTTTTACAAATCAACATTGATGTACAGTAAATGATAGGCTGATTTTCTGTATTAATGAAACTCTCTCTCTCTTTCATGATTATGTCAACAACGTTGTTAGAGAATTTGACCTTGTAGTTTTGCTGTGGATCAAGGATAAGCTCATCACAACTTTTACATGAAAATTCTGTCTTCTTTTTTAGTTATGAAATAGCCTAAGACATGTTATGATCGCTGTCTTGCAATTGCTTGCTGGTTAGGTTTATCTCATACAATAAATCACATCATATCACAAGACTAGTCAAAAATTTGAAACTTAGCATCTTGACATTGATTGAAACTTTGTTCTACTGGTTCATGTTCCGAGTGTTGTCTTCTTCAATAGAGACCAGATCATTGTAGACCCCTCCCGTTTGCCAATGACCATGAATTCATCAGTCAAATTATTTTTATTTTGCAACCCCTTTGTTTTACCACCCAAAGAAATTGTTTGTTTTGTATATTTGATAACATTAGCCCTGACCAAATCTATTGACATAAAACATATTGTAATATATTTATTATTTCATTAGTTACCTCTGATTGAAGTTCTCTGTTCATATTCATTATTTTATTGTTTACTTCTGTGTGAAGCTCTTTGTTTCTATTTATTATTTCATTGTCTACTTCTGTGTGAGGCTTTCTGTTGTACAATCAATACAGTGAAAGTCATTATGAAATAAGATAAACAGATACACATTACTACACCAAACAGGATGAATTAAAGAAAATTAGATTTTTGCACAATGTTTTTGTTGTCTTTCCAATGAATAGTTAAGAGAGAGAAAGTACTGTAGACAAATGACATTTTATTATGGTATTCTGTGTTTTTTAAAATAGTGTTTATGGTCAGATACAAGAATTAATTTTGTTTAGGTAAAGAAGAGGTAACACTAACAAGTCCTTCAGTAATTGATGTTCCCAAAAAGAAGTTTACAGGCAAGCAACAAATCACAGAAATTGGTGTTACTCCACCACACAGTGAAAGTCATAATGAGGTAAGGCAAAAAGATGGATATCATAAAATAGTGCCCAAACTTTTCCAGCCCAAGGTACACTTACTTTATTAAACATTTTGTGTGGCACACCAATCCTCCAACACATTATGAAAACTCAGGGCAATTCTTATTACCACATAGATAGGGGGTGAAATTCTGACGGTACTCAATACTGTTGAGTACCGGAACTTATTTTTTAAGGCTGTACTATTACCGAGACTTACTTGAGCTGCTTTTTTGTATGCGCATACATTCCATTGTTCTGTCAGAGAGCATCTATTTACTGTCACTAAAATTGTAGTTTTTTATGTTTACACACAATTTTTTTATTTTTCAAAAACAAATCCACTTCATCCAACTGAGTACATCTACTTTTTTGAGAATTCTCCCCCATTTCATGTAGACTAGTATAAGTCATTAAAACATAGTGTGATCACACTGTCTTACACTTGTACACTGTAAAAGAAACAAGACAGAATACCCTTTAGTTACATCCACAAAAGTAATTTATATAATTGATACATTTCGTTTATTCAATTTTTGTTTTCTCATATATGACTTTCCCAAAATTCTGTGGCACACCTATTCACAACTGATAACCCACCAATTGGGAAACAGTGGGCTATTATACTAAGTAGTGAAAACAATGGTGAGCTGCATGTTAATATAACAAACAGTGAAGGGCATTATGAAGTAAGATAAATGGGTAGTTGTATTAACACACCAAACAGTGAAGGGCATTATGAGGTAAGATAAATGGGTAGTTGTATTAACACACCAAACAGTGAAGGGCATTATGAAGTAAGATAAATGGGTAGTTGTATTAACACACCAAACAGTGAAAGACATTATGAGGTAAGATAAATGGGTAGTTGTATTAACACACCAAACAGTGAAGGGCATTATGAGGTAAAATAAATGGGTAGTTGTATTAACACACCAAACAGTGAAAGTCATTATGAAGTAAGATAAATAAGTAGATGTATTAATACATGAAACAGTGAAAGTTATTATACAGTGAGTCAAACAGATAGATGGGTTAACACACCAAACAATGAAAGTCATTATGAAAGAAGACAAGACAAAAGGGTGAAAACTGTGATGAGGTGAAACAAATCAGCATTTGGTCAATAGTTACATAAATACCACTGTGGTATTTTTAGGGGAATTGATTTTCCTTACAGTGACAAGACAGATCCACAGTATATCGGGTTCAACCATGGTAGTTTTTACAAAGTAATACTCAGTTATCTTACTAACTGAGTTTGTGAAAAATAAAATGAGACTGGACACAATTGTACAAAAAGCACAATGAACAATTTTTATTCAAGACACAAACACTGTATATGTATTATGTGACACATCAGATTGTTTCCTTCTATTGGAGTGGTAGATACAAAACTGTTTCCAAACTAAACCTCACATTACTTAATTAACTTGTAATATCAGGCTTATCCAGATCGACTAGTGCTACCCACAAGACTGGTCATTCCCATTATAAAATAAGGGAGGCTGTAACCTTAAGATATCATTGGAGAAAACTTCTGTCTACTTTCATACACAATGTACAGCCTTTCCTCTTTATTCCTGATGGGCAAACTAGGTGTTTTCTCTTGGGAATAACAGTAGGTAGTTATAGAAAAGGTAGATTAATGACTTTTTTGATTAAGTGTTATGTGAAAAGTGCACATACACCTGAAAAACGGCCAATTTTAAAAAAAAAAATCATACAATAAAATAAGAAAATACCATAACACCTCTACATAACAGTCTTTATAAACAGATTAAATTGTAAACTTTTTACATATACATCTATTTGTTGTACAGAAATTTTAGCTATGAATACTTCTGTAGATGAATGGGAACCCTCCAGCACTGAGCAGAAAACAAAATATTAGTATTATAACAACTTCAGTTGCTGAAGTGGAATGTAAAGAAGATTTCCCAGAAGTGACAAAACGACTTTCACCTGACAAAGGTAACAAAACTAAAATCCTGCTCATTTAAACATTTGACAAAGGTAATATAGCATATTTAATATTTTTACTCCTTATATAGATAATTAATACAGTTAATATCTGGACTGCAGAGATATGTTGTACAGATGTAGCATGACAGTTGCCTAACTCTTAGATACAAAGTATTTTCTCTGACATGAGATGTAAATTTTATACAAGTAACTTTTTACTGATATGGAATAAAAGTTTGTTAAACTTTATCCACATTTACAAAACTTAATTTTCAGGTAAGCCTAAAATTTGAAAAATGTTTCATTTAAAATAGGAAATACTTGAGTGTGTTTTATAAATAATTTCTTGTTATTACTGCTAATATATGTATATATAGAGAGAGATCAGTGAGTAACATGAAATACAGATTGAATACTTTTAACCCAAGAGTTTAATTTGTATTTTTTTTTCTTCAGAAAACCTTCCTTTTCCTTCTAACCTTTTTGTGGATTCTGAGGTATGTATAGTTATTGTGTGCAGACATTTTACTTGTTTTAAAAAGTAATATAAAATTAACTCCTTAAACCCGAGTGGATGCTGCAAACATTCAGCCACAAATCCTGATTTACCCATCAGATGGTTACAACACCCAATAACATGTATGTCTCTTTGGCTGAAAAATTAATCTACATCATTTTATTATCCACACAATTAAGAAAATTGGAATTTTATATGATATGGTGATAATTATTAGGAAATCATTAAAATAATTCTGGCACAAAAAATAATGGGTTTAAAGAGTTAAGTTACATATAACTGGTAATTAGGTTAATAAATGTTATATTACTCGTATAAATAGAGAGGGTTGGACAGTCAACTAAATCTTTAGCCTAGACAGACAGACAGACTAATATAGTTCAGATAGACAAACAAATAAAGATTATACAGTCATACAAGTAATGAATTATAAACTAAAATGAAGACAGATAGATAGCCCAAGATAGTCAAATGTTAGGAACATATATGGGTATGAGATGGGTGAGGTCTTGTGGTAAGTTATTAACTACCAAAAGTTTTGGATTAAAATTGAGATATCTCAAAGCAAATTAATTTTTTTAATTCTTTTACATATTTTTTACATTAATTCATACTCATATTTTATCAAATATCTATTTACTTTGGAAGATAAACCTGGTTTTATGGTTTCATCAGTGGCTTAATATTAAATAAAAAATAATATACATTAAAGAGAGTTAAGTTGTTTGTTTTATGAGATCTGTAAATGAATATGCTTATTTTTAACTCATAGTTTTTCCACTGCAAATACTTTGAGATTTGTTATCCAGTAACTATGTAAAGCTGATCTTAACAATGTGCACTCTGAATTGAACAATACTCATAAATTCTATTTTCTGTGACTTTGAAAAGGTTACGCAAAAGAGCTGTTATGTTACAAATGAATTAGAAGCTTTAGAAAGGGAACAAGAACAAATTGATATTAAAGCTGCTGAACTTGAGAAGAAACTGAGAAAAGTTATGGACTATGGTAAGATTCCAATAAGAATGGTTTTGTTTTGTCTTGCTTTATTTTTTTAGATAATTGATTTTAAATCATCTTGGCTTTTAGAATGATCACTTAAACTTGCAAGCTGCAACTCAAATATTATCTCCATAATAAATATCTAGAAATACATAATCCAGCTATTTAAAATCTTGAACTTATATGTAATTTAGAACATTATACACAACTACAAGTGTTGAATTATTTTCACTTGGGAAATTATGTAATAATTTTCCTTAAAATATATATATATATTCAAAACGTGGAATATGGGTATATTTTTGTAATATAAATATCAAACATTCGGCAATGATAACCTTTGATAAAATGAAAGTTGAAAAAATGTCTTAAAATATGCATTTCAAAAAATCTTGCTTTCTTTTTTTATGGAAAACTTGTAAGTTGGATATTTTGTACTAAGATAATGATTTTAAAATACTTAGATTCCCCTGAAAGGATTGTTTAAAATCTGAAACTTTGACGTTTTTTCCAAGAATAATTATATAAAAACTTGTAATTTGGATAGCTTCCTATAGAATAGCTAGAGACATATAACTTGGTTATTTCATCATGAAATGAATATGTAAAAATCTGCAATATGATCTCTTTCACTAGAATTACTTGAAATCTGAAATTTGGATTTTTCTTTCAACAATTATTGCTTAAAGGCTTACAAATGCAAAAGTCGTACCCTAGAAAAAAACCCAATAAATCTAATAGTATGAATACTAAGAGTATGGTGAAAATAAACATTTTATATTGGACTTTTTTTTTTATTATATTTAATTCAGGTTTTCTGTAAGAAACAAGTTATAAGTTTAACATAAGGTATTAAAGTTAAAAAATACAGATTTTATTTTTATGCATATGCAATGAGAATAAAGATAAAGGAAAAAACAAGGGAATAATTGGGGGTAAATAACAAGAATTGGACTATTAATAAAATTGAATTAAAAGGAGCTGGCAATGTGATTAACCTCCTTGGCAATCTTATATTTGTGAATAATATTTTGCACCCATAGGTGTCTCACTGTTTATTGCAAAATTTCAGTTTCCTTGTCATGAAATTAAATTTACCAGTCATATATATTAACAAACAAGGTGACAACCATTCATATTTTTTCTTGCATGAAGTGCAGAGGTGGACACGTGGAAGGGGGGGGGGGGGTCCAGGGAGTCTAAATTGTTTCTAAAAAGTTGGGACATTTTAGGAAAAATGTTGAAATTGGCCTAGAAAAATCCACCTACACCTATTTTATACCCAGAACCCCTTCTCCTTTTCTAAAAATCCTGTATTCATGCCTGCACTGTATTACTTATATGTAAACAATAAAAGGGACTTACATAAACTGAAATATTCAGCAGTTCTTTCGTATGATAGTCCTAGAAGCAGGAAAATAATTTAGTAAAAAAAGAAAATACTTGTTATTAACTTACCTGTAACCTAGCTTCAGTGATTAGAATTGTGATTTAATGTGGTAATTCTTGAAGCAGGGCACTGCACAGTAGAGCTCTAAGTGTGAGTGTACTGGCTCTACTCACATTGTTTAGTGATTTCAAATAGCAGTAGCTGGTAGTAGCACACAGCAGAAAAACTTGGTCTAAACCCTGCAGAATCTACAAGTTAAGTTTACCCCCAAGACTGTCTCAGGATGAATGATTTTTGTTCAGCTTGCTCATCCTGAATGTGTCAAGGTCTGTAATGGGTCTGGATTTATTATTTAACAATCCTTCTTCAATTAATAATTATATGTTGGATTTGCCTGAACTTAAATTTAAAAATTCCCCAAAATGATATGATAGCCAATGTTCTCTCTCTGATTAAAATGATGAATATGCATGGATTTAATTTCCCCTAAAGGGGGCCAAAAGCTGCCTAGAAGGGTCACCTGTTTTAACCACTCCAGCTCAATATAGTAGTAAGTTGTCTGTCTGTCAGTCAGTAGACACAAAATGATGTCACATAAGGGATGTTTAACATTGCAATTTGTAATGTTGTGACATCAGTAGAACATGCACATATCATGAAAGGAATTATCCACTCTGTAGGCTAAATCATAGCATGACATATGAATTTCAAAAGCAAGAAATAAGAATATTTGTTAATTTTAATTTTGGTTTTATTTATTCTTGAAACAGAACACTTTTGGGGGACCCTGCGGAAGTACATCTGATATTGTAGAACCAGTTTTTGTGTGTACATGTTCGTGAACATGGGAAGATGGTATTTAATCCTACCAATGTTTTTTACGTGTACAGTTACCACATGTGTATCTGTGTATGATTTATGTCTCTTAATCTGAAAGTGGTTTAAAAATTGCTATGAGCTGAAACTGAGAATAATAAGACTTGTATTAACTTAAGTAAATTTCGTTTTCATTGTAGGCTCCATTTTGTAAACTAGAAAACACAGATACTAGCAAGACGTTTCACAACTAACTTCACTCTTTTTTATTTCTTTTCCATCTTTTATATCCACATATAAAAATGTGATTTTTTTTCAACTTTGATATATTTTATTAAACCTATCTGTTTTCACAGAAAACCTTTGATTTATATATATAATCTTAAATATCTAATGTAAATGTTTATTTTTATCGTAATCTTAGTTTTCTTACTACTTAACTTATTGTTTTTCTTCCAGGGTAAGACTTCTGAGTTTACAGGCCTTTAACTAATTATTCTAGAAAGAAAAATCCAAATTTCAGAGTTCTAGTCAATTATTCTAGAGAAAGGGGTCATATTGTGGGTTTTAGATATTCGCTTTATGAAGCATTAATCAAATTAGAGGTTTATAGATACTTAACAGGAAGATATCCAAATTACAGGTCTTTAACGCGTATTCTGCAGAATATTTAGAAAAGACCCCACTAACTGAACCGAATGAGCAACTAATAAAATTATCAAAATATTGGAACCCAAAAATTACCAAACTACTAAACAATGGAAGCAACTCACCTCAACTATATGGTTTACCCAAGACACACAAACCTGAGTACCTCTTAGACCCATTGTCATTGCCATAGACTCGCCTTTCCATAACACTCGTCTTTCCATAACACTCGTCTTTCCATAACACAGCTAGATTCCTTGCAAAACTTCTTAACATCTTAACCACTAATTCACTAGCCTAAAATAAAAATACAGAAATGTTTGTAGAAATCTTTGAAACCTTCTCCATTCCACTTTTATATGGTCAGCTTTAATATTGGGAATATGTTCTCCAGCATCCCATTAACCTTGTCCCTTCCTTGTTCCACAACAAATTAACAGCAGGTGGATCCCAACATCTCTGCATAAGTCTCAATGTAGACAACCTGTTAGAACTTCTGCACTATCTCCATCTAGTGGCCTTCCCGTTGGATCACTTCTCTCATAGCAACATTTTCATGGAAGGTTTTAAAACAGAGCCCAACAGACAAGTAATTGGAAACCTAACATTTGGAAATGTTACGTTGATGTCACATTTGTTATTTAGTCTTAAGCTTAAAAATTTCTTTCATCACCTAAATTCTCTAAACCACAGCATACAATTCATCATGCAGTTAAAACAAAATAAAACCCTTTGATTTCTTGACATTCTCACCAGTGCTTTGTATAGGAAAACCACCAACACTAACAAATACCTACAGTACAGGTCCAACCACTCAAAAGCTGTTAAACATGAAATCATATCAAACATATTGGACAACGCCATAAAGATTTGTGATGAAGACCATGTTGTAAAAGAGCTAAACATCCTAGAGAAATGTTTTTAGAAATAATGAATGCCCTTCCAAATTTATAGCTACGCCCCAAAAGAACAGGATTCCACAACATTCACAACAAGACCAATTCTAACACATCTCCACCATTTCTCCAAAAAGAAACATATAGTTATAACTGAATAGGCAATAAAGATATCACAATTAAATAATAGGTTGAACAATTGCCAAGTTTTTTTATATTTTTGTTTCAAGAAGGATGACATTTAGAGTTGGTGCTCTTCGTCATCCTTCTTTAAATAAAAATATAAAAAAACTTGGTGATTGTTCAACCTATTATTTAAGTTTCTATCATTTCTCTACCCTAAATTCCCAAGTTAAGAAAAACTACTTAAAAGAATTTGCCTTGGAGCTTTACTACAAGGTCACCTTTATAAGACAGTAAACAAGTAACTACAGTAACCTTAAAAAGGTCTCAGTATAGAAGCTAAAATATTATCCCCTTTTCATTCAACAGTTGCAGTCCATTAAAGTTCTCAAAGCTACTATATCTCTCATGCCTAAAGTTCCATTGAAACAACATCTACAGAAATATATTCAAATTACAGGTCTCTAGATATTCTGCAGAATGATATCAAAATTACAGGTCTCTAGATATTGTATAGAAGGAGAAATAAATTACCAATCTATAAACATTCCACAGAAAGATATACAAATTACAGGTTTATCTACAAGAAGATGGATTATGTATAATCTGAAATGTCTGTAATAAAATGTTTATTTTCACCTTCATCTTCATCTTATGATTACCTGCAAATGAATCCACTGCCTACAAGTTTAACAGTAGTTTTGAAAGTATGTTTGATTTAAATCTTCTAATTAGGATATCTCAGGGAGAATTATCTTAAGTCCACTATATAGCTATAGCATTAGTACATCTGTTGTAAAAACTCAAATTACCATGCTAAATAATGAGTTACTTGTGGTTGTTCGACAGAAATAAAATGTTCATTCTGCTTAAATAGATGCATACTAAAAAGACAGTTTAGTTAGACAATTTAAATTGTGGATGAACTACTGATATAAAATTAGTATTGGTAAAATCGTACTAATGATAAATAGTTGAAACTGTCAAAAATTGCATGTTTTAACAGTTTCTTCATTTGTAAGAAAGCCATGTTAAATGAAGAATATGAAAACGTAATTTTATTACTGGACATTTTAGATTTTAACATGGTTCAACTTTAACAAGTCTGTTGTAAATAAAATAAAGACAGACATTACATTTTGAAATGTTATAAACAAAAAAATGCAATAGAAGTATAAAAGATGGGAAACAGTAATAAGACTTTTATACTTTGAATAAAAATATTTTGTAGTTGCTATGAACTGACTTTATATGTAGCGATGTAAAATATTTTTTTAGCTTGATAAGTTACTAGCAAATGATATTGTTTCAGTTTATAACTGTATTGTCTTTTATGTTATTTTAGAATATAGTAATAAGTTTATACAATTATTTATATAAAAACTTCTGTGTTCTCCCCTCCCCCCAAATGTGTTATAGGGATGAACAAAGAGAAGGAGGAATATTTAATGAAGCAGTGGTTCATCCTGGTTAACAAGAGGAATGCATTGATAAGAAGGCAGATGCAACTGAATATTCTGTAAGTTTTTGTGTGTTCTCGCAAAACTTGCTCCAAATCGCATTTTCTTCTTCAAAAAAGAAACTCGTACTACCCAAAAAATCAGAAGCTTGTGTATAAAAAAGATTATTAAAGTTTTGTACTGAATTTTTTAATTCTTTGTGCAAAATTCAAAACAAATCAAACTTTCCTGTTCTCTAGTACAATACTACAATTACGTGATAAATCATTAAATACCAAGGATATGGAAATTGGTTTTTATTAATAATTACTAATTAACTTTAAACATTGATTAAATTGTAAATTTTGGTGAAATATGTAATTTCAATATAAATGATAAAAAAAAAAATCCCTTTAATCTCAATTTCAGAAATTTAGAAAAAGAATTTGAATTCTAGTATCTCAAACTTGCGAGTTCTACTCAAGAGCTATCTGCACTAGCTGTCCCTAGTTTAGCAGTGATAGACTAGAGGGACAACAGCTAGTCAATACCACCCATCGCCAACTCTGGGGCTGGTCGTTACCAACCCATCACATTATAATGCCCTACTATTGAAAGGGTGAGCATGTTCAGAGATTGGATTCAAACTTGTGACCTGCAGATGGTGAGTCAAATGTCTTAACCACCAGGTAGAACAGGAAAGAGCTATGGTACTAATGTCAATTCAGTAATGGTAAGAATGCCAACAGAATAAGAAAAATGTTTGAAAATGAATAAGCCTAAAGCAATACAGAACTTGTTTCTCTTTAGTTTAACTTTTGTTTTTTGTTTACAAAAGAAACATAAGGAAATGTTGCCATCAATACAGACAGGGTCAATACAAGCATTATACTCTCATTGTAAAAGATTGTGCATGAGTTGTTTTGGAAATTTATAGATGACCTATAATAATTGCACTGTCGTGATATGCATAGTGACGAAAATATGTTTAAAATATTACTAATTTTCAGTCATTTTATAATTTATAGATGTAAAAAATCATGATCATACCCAATACCAGACCCTTCTGATTTTGCATGTTAATATTTTTGTTGTAATTTCATTTTTCTTAATTTCCTTCAAGTTTAACTCGTCATGAATAAATCTGTAAAGTACCATCTATATTTTAGTGTCTGTCTGTTTGTCCGTTATCTGACTACTCCTAGGTCGCTGGACCAATCTCAACCAAACTTTGTGGGATGATAATTTGGAAAAAGGGGCGTGTTAATTCTCAACACTCTCCACCCTTCTTTGGCTTAAGTTAACGTTAACTGCATTCATAGATGGCGCTAGGTCCTAACACCAAACCAAAAAACTTAAATTATCTATAACACAACATGCACGCAGGGTGGAGAGAGGGGGGGGCACACAAACGTCTTATATATCTCAGACAGTGGGCTAGCATCTCTATGGAGGAATGCAATGAAAAAAAAATGATCGCCACTATTGCAATAATACATAAACTCAGGTGAGGGTTCTGCTACAACAGCCACCATAAGAGCCGTTTCTTGAGTTATACCCACTTCCTACTTTGACCCGTTTGACCTTACAACTTTATCTCATAAGACACTTCTGCGGCCAACTACCGTCAGTCATCCATTAATTACGTGAAACAGTGTGGAAGGACATTAAGAGTTGGGTGTTGAAAGCGGGTAACAAAAAGCACCCCGACCATCGCACAGTATATACCATGTTTTAGGTATATACATAGTGAGTTCTTTGGGTAATAATATGTCATGTTATAAATAAATTATGTGAAACTTAGGATTTTTGTGTTATTTATCATAGCACCCACCTCCACATTGTTTTAATTCATTACCTGGACAAAGGACGGGTACCTTAGCTTGAAAAGTATATAATGTGTTTTTAATTTGGCTAGAAATTGACTTGGATAATATTTAATAGCTTAGCATTCTGCCTCGAAAGTTTACGTGTACTTTTTTTGACATATAAAGTATCTTGGTGTAATTTTCAAATATATCAAAGTGTCTATCAAATCGTACACAAATAATAATAATAAATCGTATATTGTATGTCGCAGTTTCATCTATAAAAATTGAATATATAATTTTCTTTTTTATGTGAATACACAGGTTTATCAACTTTTCAATTTTAGATTTCTACGGCTTGTATATATTAAACAGTTATGTTATTAATAGAAAAAAATGTGCTGAAAAGCAGTTCATTTTAAACATGAAGCATTGGAAATATGTGTTAGGTTAGACGTTTATTTTAAGGTGTTGTACATCAACTTACGAGATGGCGCTACGTACAATGTTTAATTTTAACGTTTCTTTACGATTTCATCTTAAATTTGTAAATTATTTCAAAATAAACATAGCCACCAATATAATACTTATCGTTAGATGTTTTACTTCACTTGTTTTTCAGTATTAAGATTTAACTGTAAAATAGGCTTAGGTCTGCGCAAATCAGACCCGATTGCGTTATTGCTGACACTAAATATTTGGAGTTAGATTTATTCTGTAAAAAAAAAAGGGATAAGAACATTTACTTTTAAATTACTCGTTCGGGTAGCCCATAAACTTTGGGTGTATCAGAAAGCGATCCTTAATATCTTATTCCAATACAAGTTGTCCCACAGTGGGTCAGCGGTAAGTTCACGGACTTACAACGCTAAAATCCGGGTATGGATTCCGCGATGGACATATTACAGGCAGACAAATAAAATAATACAAGTGTTAAACATTAGAACCCACGTTTATTGTTATCCATAAATTACGTGTGTGTTTAAGTTTCATTGTGATGCCTAAACGAATGATTTAATAAAATTTCACACGTAACTGTCCATCAATTACCCCCACATATCTGTGTTGTTCACATACGTAGTTTAAAACACTGAACGCACACTTGTAGTGTTTATGATTGACCGTCCATGGCAATTTTTCATTGCACTCATAACTTTTACTCAGAGATTCTCCATCACAGTTTCCATCACATGTTTGTGTACCAGTTTGTCTATCAGTTCCAGCTTACTCTTCACACTAATCTTCTTATCTCTAAAAGCTGCTTTAAAGCAATTTCTCCTGCCATCCCAATGTTTCCCTTGGATATAATAGAAGCCAGACTTTATTCACTATTGATTTTTACAAGATTTGTGTAGAGATGTAATGGGTTGTGTATGTGAAACTCCTTGTTTATTTACTTTCTTTGCTACTGACTTAATAGACCACTGATTAATTTCTAGTAGCTAGTACTTTTGTTGCAGCAAGTAAGTAAAATCTGTAGCCTTAAAAAACATGTTTTGGTGGCGACAGAACGTTGAAAGAAACGATAAAGGAAAAGTAATAGTTTTCGACGTCGCCAATTAACGAACCTATTACATATATTTTATTGTTCATCTAAATTGTGTGTAACTTATACACTTATAGGCACAATCAGTAAAATATTTACAATTTTTCATCCCGACAAACATTTTGTGTCAGATTTTAGGAGTGAGAGTCTGACGTGACAATGTCTATATCGACAGTAATAACCATACAATACAACTATTTGTAATTGGCACCCCCCACCCTTGTCTTTACACCATATGGGGTGATTGTTTCGTTTCTTCTTTCACTGTTAGGAGGCGCAGTGATAGAAACGGAAATAGACCAACGTTTGTTTTAGCTTCTAGTTTCTTTATCGCTCAAATAAAATAAAAAAATTACAGCTAACTCTAAATGTGGCAGGTCAGGTCCTTTTGTACGGAAATAACAGCTGTAAACATAGTAGGACAAGCAAGTGTGAAGATACTGATTAAAATCAAAAGTTAGCTTAAGATTTGCCCCGGAAAAAGTAGAAATAGTGTAGAATTGTGTGAAGTCTGCAAAGTACGATTAACTAACTACACAGTGCCGGTTGTTTCCATCGTATACATTATGGAAACTTCGTGTCGGTAGAGAAAAAAGTCCCTAGAAATAAACTTGAATGTATGTATGACGACGGCATATTTCCCTAACCAGTCGACCACCTGTGTATATTGCATTCCTTTTTTCTCGTCTCTACATCAAGACAGAGTGGCACACCTGAAGGAACGGAGACAATACCTTTTCTCCTGAAAGTAACCATCAATACCGACAGATGACAGTCAGTAAAGCCCGCCGTTGCTGTTCCCCTGTTGTTATAGCTGTGTTAGTGGCAGTTTGTATGCGGCGGCCGCTGACGTCTGAATGCCTTGTTAAATGTGTTCTTCCGCGGGATGGCCCCGCCAAGCGCTATGATACGAGCCCATAATCCCGCTAATTAACAAGCCAAAGGTCGGCCGTTAGAAATGGTACCACTTTAACTTGGGACACATGAAACGGCTTCGCTTTATAGGGGCAGTGAAATTATATCCAGAACTTATGTGACTCGTACTCATATTTTAGTTAAAGTTTCATGGTAGGCCGCTCAGGAAAGGGTGCTCACCAGGAGGCTCTCCTGTCAGTGTTCTCATTCATCATAATATGGGTCGAAAAGTCCAAGGTCTACCTTGGTTGCTTTAACTAGTGTCGTATAAGCAAAATAAATCCGGATTATACACCAATGACAAGGCTTTAAGCTTAACGTGATTTAGAAATTAGAAACAAAACGTCTTCCTATAATGATGGATAACAAAGATTACAAGGTATAATCAAGATAGGTCACTAGTTTCAAACTGTTTAGTTCCTTCTTATTCTTAGATATAACTTTAACTCCTGAGTTACGAAAAAGATTGTTGAATCTCACAGTTTATGTTCAAAAACGTAACATCTGCTGATTTGATTCGTGCATTGTTAGTATAAGAAACAGAATATCAGATCTTTCATGAATTATGCATATCAACATAAAAAATAAGATGTCTACTCATTTGATTCGTGTACTATCACCTTAAAGAAGAGGATTTCTGTTCAATAGATATTCATGCAATATCAGCATGAGAAACAGGATGTCTGTTCACTAAATTCGTAAACTGTGAGCATAAGGAATGGAATGTCAGATCACTTAAATCATGCAATATCAGCATGAGAAACAGGGTGTCTGTTCACTAAATTCGTAAACTGTGAGCATAAGGAATGTA